ACTACTACTACTACTACTACTACTACTACTACTACTACTACGACTATGACTACTAGTACTACGTTTACTACGACTACTACTACGACTACTACAACGACTACTACTAGTATTTGTACTACTGGTACTACTATCACTACTACTGCAAGCCTGTGCCCCTTTGAAGCGTCATGCTGTGTTGTTTGCGCCCGCTGTCAGTTGATAGCGGATGCGCGGCCCCTCCTCTAGGGCACGAAGGTCTGCGAACCGTTGTTGCCGACGGCTTCCGCGCCTATGCCTCTTGATCCTCCGGCCCCCCCATCCTGCTCTTCCTCCTCCTCCTCCTCGTCCTCATCCTCCTGCTTTTTCCTCCTCATCCTGCTCCTATTCCTCGTCCTCCTCCTCGCCTCCCCCCCCCCCCCCCCCCCTTCATCCTCCTCCTCCTCCTCCTCGCCCCCCCTCCTCCTCCCCCCCGCTACCCCTCCCCTTCCCCCTCCTCCTCCCCCTCCTCATCCTCCTCCTCGTCCTCCTCCTCCTTTTTCGTTTCCTCCCCCCCCTCTCCTTCCCCACCTCCTCCACAACATCGCCGCCGACCTCTCATTGTCATCGACGCCTGGTGTGTCCCAGAAGAGTGCGCGCACCCAGCGAGAACCCCATTTGCATGTAGACGCCATGCAAACGCGCACGCACCATGGCAGGAGCCCCGAACGCCCGACAGCACAGGAAATGATGTGCATGCGCACGTAAAGGGCCCCACAGGCGTGCGTATACGAATGCATTCGCATGCAACGCATGGCAAACGTATTTGTAAGCACGCGTATAATAATCAAAACGCATGCGCGTAGGAAGAAACGAAGACGATACACATACGATTCCGGAAGCACGCAACCGACAATGACTCCACTGACGCGCGCGTGCGAATCTACAGGCATCCGTTCACGAGTGCGAGCGATACACTGCATACAGACCCGCCTAAACTGTTTGGGAGTCGTGCAACATGTTCCATGCGTTTTTCGCGACTCTGTTGGGATGGAAACCCCAGGCCTGCACTGACACCGTCCGTGTCCCCGAGGCCACCCTATGGAAAACTCCAGCCCAGGCGACGGCCCCGCTAGCCAGGCGAGACGGCGGCGCGCCCCATGGGCCCCCGGAACCCGATCCTCAGACGCGCGTCCTCTTCAAGCCCCTCCTGCTTGAAGACGCCGCGGCAAGCGTGGCCAGCGCCTGCGGCTCAGAGACCGATGAAGCAGCGCCTGGCGAAGGCTGGACGATGGAAGGCAGCCCCTCGGAAGAGGCGATCTCCGCCTTCACGGCGCCTGCACCCCCAGCGCCCTCTGACTTGACGGGCGTCTTCGCTTTCTTGTGCGCGGGGGGGCCCGCCGCGTGAAGCGATAAGTCTGCGAGCGCATCCCAGAAAGCCGAAGGAATCCGCCACCGCGCCTGCGCGATAACGGGGTTCCAGAACGCCCCGCGCTGCCAAGCAGGGCGCCCGCGGACTTCTACGGACCCCCCCTCGCGCCGCGGACCCCCTGTTCCCGAGGGCCCTCGGGCGGCCGCGGCGCCCCCCGCAACAATTCAGGGAGGCCACCGAGACAGCCGAACTGGCCTCGCGCCCCCAAATGTCCCCAAAACGGCGCAGGGGGGCGCCAAGACGGCCCGCGATGGCTCCATGGCGGCCAACAGTGGCTTCGGGGACACTCAGACTCACCACAAAGACGGCCCAGAGGGGGGTCCAATTTGTTTTTTTCGGGAAGTCCCGACACGAGCATGCCCACTAATGTGCCACTTGATTCGTTGCTCCCCACAATTAAAGCCCACGCTAGCCCCAGATGGCCCACGAGCCCCCAAGATGGCCCAGCAGCGGCCCGCAAAGCGCCCATAACGGATTCGAGAAACCTAAATGGGGGTCCGTAGACGGCCAACGGCAGCCCAAAAGAAACCCCAAGCTGGCCGAAGAAAACCCATTATCCCAGTGCGACCCTACCTAGGAGTTGGAGCCCCTAGGAAAGCAGCATTAGTAGCAACAGTAAAGCTAAGCGACAACTAAGTTAAAGCTAAGCTAAAGCTAAGCTAAAACTAAACTGAAGCTAAGCTAAAGCTAAGCTAAAGCTAGGCCGAAGCTGAGCTAAAGCTGAGCTACAGCTAAGCTAAAGCTAAGCTACAGCTAAGCTAAAGCTAAGGTACAGCTCAGCTAAAGCTAAGCTAAAGCTAAAGCTGTGGTAAAGCTAAGCTAGAGCTAAGCTAAAGTTCAGCTAAAGTTAATATACAATTAAGCTAGAAAGCTAAACTAACGCTAAGCTAAAGCTGAGCGAAAGCTAAACTAAAGCTAAGCAAATGCTAGGCAAACTCTAAGCTAAAGCTAAGCTAAAGCTGAAGCTACAGTTAAAGCTCAAGCTCCCAAGGGACTGGGGGAACCGCTCCCAAGGGACCTGGGGAAACGCCCAGGGCGGGGCCCGCTGCCGGGCCCTTGAAGCTAGGGAGCAAGAACCCTTCTAGGCAGAGCCTAGGTAGGGAAAAACGGCTCTCAAGATGCCCCGCCGACCCGAAAGAAGGCACCCCAGGGCGGCCCCGCGATTGCTAAGCGAGACCCCCCAGGCGGCGGGCCCTGAAACGGCCCGAAATGGCCCGAAGATGGCCCGCAAGGGCCTGGGGCAAGGACGGCCGCCCAAGAGCGCCCCACGGGGCCCAAGACAGCACCAAAACGGCCCAAATGGATCCCATGAGTCCCTCGAGAATTGTCGATGAGAGGCGCCGCGTGCGTCGGCCCTCCCTCGCCCCCCAACCCCGTGATCATCGCCGTCGTCGCGTCCACCGAATTATCGCCATGGCCACCGTAATCACGTTCATCACTTGTCATTACCATTACCATCACGCAGACAGTCGCCACCTAAGTGCAGCGTCGGTGCGGCGGCGGGACGCGCCGCAAGCAGCTGGATACTCGGGTCCCCCTTGTAGCTCGCGTGGTTCTTCAAGAAATCCTTCGCCACGTCTGGGCCGTCCTCGTGGTTCTTATAGGCGTGGGTGATCGTGGCCCCCTTGATGATGAAGTTTGCTGTGTGGGCCAAGCTCATGGTCTTGATGGCGGTCGAAATTGAAGCCGCCGTGACTGGGTGATCCTTCAAAGCCGGGGACACTCGCAAGGTCCTCCCCGACGACGCAAGTTTGGACAAGAGGTCGTGCAGGTTCTTGTGCGCCTTCACAACCGGGCCCGACTTGCCCACCACCGTCTTCTCGGAGACCACCTCGTTGAAGCCCTGCGCGTCGAAGCACGCCTGCCACGTCGGGCAGGCCGCCTCGAGCGTTTCCGTGGCCCGCTCGACGATGCCCGCCCAACACTGGAGAAGCAACTCGTTACAGCGGGCCGCGAAGAGGCCCATCGACTCCGTCCACTGGCGAAGCAACGGCAAGGGGAAAACGATCTGCAGGCCTACCTTCTCGAACTCCAACGAGATCTCAGACTCCAGCAAGATGCCCAACACCTCGAGCTCAGCGGCCAACTGGGCAGGCGCAGAGGTCAGGACGCCGAAGAAGGCGGCCTCGGGCATCTGCACCGCGCCCACGCTCTCGGCGGGCACGATCAAGTGCTTCTGCATCGCGGAGAGCGCCAGGATAGCGCCCCGAGCCGCTGAGAGCACCTTCAACGCATGCACGCCCCAATCAGCCTTGATGGGCGAGGCCGTTTCCACACCGACGTGCCGACAACATGGCACGACCAAGGTGGACTCCCCGATCTTCTCGACAAACGCCTCGACCACGCCCAGGCACTTCTTGAAAGGTTGCTGGCCGAGCACCTTGCCGAAGTCGTCGTCGCTGGAGAGCGCGCTCAGGGGGCCCTCGAGAAGCGCAAATTTGGACTCGGGGATGATAAGCGGCACAACTTCTGACAACTTCATCGCCATCAAGCTCTCTGGGTGCATGGGGTTGACCGCGAAGGTGAAATCGGTCACCACTGCGACCCAGAGCTCCATGCATTGCTGCGCGCGCGCCCCGTGGAGGTCCTGGCCGAACGACGCCACGAAGTCGTTCAGCACAGACGTGGTCGCAGCAATCACAGACGAGGACTCGAGCATGGATCCGCAAGTTGGCGCTGGCAGCGCGCGCGGCCCGCCCCCCATGGACACGTGCAAATTGCAAAACGTCGCCAGGCAATGGTAGTAGGGCGACTCCAGGACGACGTCGTCGACAACGCCGTTGACAATTGTCGGGGCCTGCTTCCTGAACAGCTTAATGCCAGCGCCGATGTACGTGAAGGCGGTGGACGTCCACTTCTGGCACGACGATATATCTCCGAGTACGCGTGCGTCATGAAGCCTCTCCTCAAGGACCCCGGCCCCCGCGCCCCCCAGCCTCGACTCGAGGTGGCGACGCACCCTGCCGAGGATCTCGGCCACCGAGGCGATCTCCTCAAACGTGCTAGCCGAAGCAGGCGCGGCCTTGCCGATGGCCGCGAGCACGTCGCACGTCTGGGGCCGAGGCTCGGCGTCGACCGGCAGCGCCATGCCGTCTGCCGAGGGGAGCTCGGTCGGCAAAGCAGGGAGCCCCAACGTTGGCACTGACCCTTCACCAGTTGGGACCTCCACAAGCTCAGTAGCCTCGCCGCCGACGAAGACGCCCCTCTCCGCGCGTGCGGCAGCGCACGCCGCGGCGATCTCCCGATCCGCAACCTCCATGCCGCAATGCGTGGCCAACAAGACGATCTCCATGCAAGTCCCGAGGAGCTCCATCACCTGCCCGGCGCGACGCTGGATCGAAGAGGTGGACCACTTGGTGACAAACTGCATGAGCTCGCACGCAAAAGTCCTCACGTGGTTAATGGCCTCCCCCATGCTCTTGCGGTCGTGGGCCGCTCCGCCGTTCCCTGTCTGCAGCCACGCCTCTGCGCTGTCGAACGCCATTTCGAACTTGGCCTCGAAAATATCCGCCGCGGCTCTGAACATGTTGTCAGTGTTGCCGTCCCGCAGCTCGCCAGCGACGTGTTCCCTGGCAGCTTGGAGGAGGACCTTGGTGCCGGGATACGTCGTCATCGCCTTCGCCACGACGCCGCCTGGCCCAGGAGAGGTCGCCAGCTCAAGCACGTTTTTCCTATGGGCAGAACGTCCACGCTGCCATCGCCGCGCCGCCCCCCCGCTTCTCCCTCTCGCACGCCCTTTTTTGGTTATATATATATATATATATATATATCTGTCTCTATCATTATTCCTGCTCGTGTCTCTCTCTCTCTCTCTTGCTCTCGTTTGTTTCTCTCTCTCTCTCTCTGTCTCTCTCTTTCTCTCTCTCTCTCTCTCTCCAGGGAAGCGCGGGGAAGGGCGCAGCGATGGCACGTGTGCGTTTGCACTGGGTCTCCGGGCCGCCCTCACGTCGTCGCTGTGCGGGCGCCCAGACTCGCTGCACAAGCTGCACAGAGCAATCGCGCGAATGGAGACCAGCAGCTCCCCGAACTCGCCGCCGTTCTCGACGTTCGCGGTCTTCGCGTGCTCGGCGAAGGCCTCCGATGCTTGGCACCACGTATCAACGAACTTCTGGACGCCGGCGCTGTCCTTGCACACGTCCGCAGGAAGGGACTGGAGGACCCCGCGCAAGGGCTCGGCGACCATCGCAGCCAACTGACCCAGCGGGCCCGCCCAAAGGTCAATCGGCCAAGGATCCTTGGGGGATCGGGCTCCCGGCAAAGAGCAAACGCAAGGGCAATTGGCAACATATCTGACCACCCGAGCGAGTACCCCCGAGAACACGCGGGCTCGGCGCCCTCGCCCTGGAGCTCTCTTTGACGCACCGGCAGATGACCCGCGTGAAGCTCCCGTCCCGCGCTCCTACCATATGCCGTCGCCCCCGTCGGATACTAATGCGTTTTCTACTTGTTGTGGGGGGCCGTGCCCCCATGGAATGCCCGTGCCCCTGTGCGCGCCCGTGCCCCATGCAACACCCGTGTCTTACATTCCTCCAATTTCCCGTGGCACTGAAAATTCCCGTACCCCCTTAATTTCCCGCACAACCATGAAATGCCCATGCCCATTTAACATTCCTTGAGATTACCGCGCCCCCTCGCATGCCCGTACCCCCTTAAATTCCCGCCCCGCCTCGCGTCGCCGCGTACCCTGAAATTGCTTTCCCCCGAGTTTCCGTGCCCCGTCGAATCTCGCCCCCCCGCTCCTTTCACATTCCCGCGCGCCTCCGACTTGCTGCATTCCCTTCACTTCCCGAAATGCCCCGCGTCGTTGAATCCCCGCGCCCCCGCGCGCTCATCCGTGCATCCCTTTCGTCACTTCCCACGCCCCTTGAAATGCCCGTCGCCCCCGTGCCCTTATTCAATTCCCACGCGCCCTTCCAATCCCGCGCGCACTTATACCCCCGTACCCCCTTAAATTCCCGCGCAATCGCAAAGCCCTTGAAATCCATGTGGTTTCTGTCGTTTCCGCCCGCCCCATCTCAATCCCCGCGCCCTCCGATGCGCCCGTGCCCTTTTTGAATCCCCCTCGAATCCTTACCTTCGCGCGCCTCCTCGGCATACCCGCGCGCCCTCTACTAACCGCACCAGTCGGAACCCCGTGCCCATCGCAGCCCCCGCGCTTCCTTGAATTCCTCTAGATCACTGTTCTTCATCAGTTCACGCACTCCCAGCAACCCCCGCGCCCCCTCCAATTGCCCTGCGCTCCCGCGCCCCGTTTAGTCCTTTAGTCCTGGCCCCTCTTCAGTGGCCCGCCGTCATCATCAGAATCGCCAACATCTCACGGCCATTGTTTTTTATCAGCATGGCCGCCGTTATCGAAATCATCATCATCATCATCATCATCATCATCATCATCATCAGCAGCATCATCATCATCATCATCACCAGCACCATCACCACCATCACCAACATCATCCTCACCACCATCATCTATTCTGGGGGCTTCGCATGGCTACCGTCATCATCGTCACCATCAGTCTCATCATCATCATTGCCACCATCCGCATCATCAACATCACCATCATCACTATCAACATGTAGCCCACTGTCCTCATCGTTATCATCACTACCACCATTCTCATCAGCGCCATCATCATCATCATCATCATCATCATCATCATCATCATCATCACCATCGTCATCATCACCATCCAAATCATCATCGCGCACACCTATCTCTGCACACGCGGCGCCCATGTTGGATGCAGCGACGGCGTCGCCGTCGTTTCTACATAGGTCGGTTTCGCAATCGACTGCGATGCGGGCCCGCACCACCGAACAACCAGCACTTACACGTTTGGCAGCGATGCCAGTGTCTACCGACTTGCATGCTTTGACGACGTTTATCCAGACGGCGGCGATGAAATATGAGTCGGCCTCGGCTTGCGAGGCAGTAGCAATCGAAGATTCGGCGCATGTCTTGCCTCTTCGCAAGCTGCGGGCCAACTATGATAAGACGCGATAGTGGCTCGCCTTCAGTTTCTTAGGTGACGATGCCCCGGCATGGTCGGCGATGTACCCTTATGTCAGACAAAACGTCTCACCAACCTTCAGGGCGTAGGTGGTCTAACGATGTCTCGATAGCGTCGGAGCTGGTCCCAAGAGGCGCTTTTGGGGCTCCCGAGATAGCCCCAAGAGAGCCCCAAGAGGGCTCCCAGAGTGTCTCCAGAGGGCCCCAAGAGGCACCCGAGAGGCACTCAAGAGGCCCACGAGCGGCCTCAGAGGGCACAGGATGACTTCCACTATGGCTCAGATAGCCCAAGCTGGCTCAATGCGGCTCCCAACATGCTCCAAACGGCCCGAAAACCGCTCCAAGAGCGCCCCGGGCCCCTGAAGGGGGGGAGCTGCGTTGGGGACCCCCCATCCTGTAATCGATGGCCCCCAAAATGACCCCAAGAGGGTTCCAACTTGGTCCCAAAAGCTCGCGGAGAGCACCCGCAGCAGCAACAGCCGCGAGAATACCATTAGATGGTTCCATGAGTCCTCGTCCTTCACCCAGTCCTCGCCCTCCTCGTCCTCCTTCTCATCCGCGTCCTCGTCCTCCTCGTCCTCCTCGTCCTCCTCGTCCTCCCCCTCCTCCTCCTCCTCCTCCTCCTCCTCCTCCTCCTCCTCCAACTCCAACTCCAACTCCTCCTCTTCCCCTCGCCCCCGCGCGGCCCCCAGGGATGGCCCGAAGAGGTCTTCCAAGGCCGCCCTTTTGCTCCCAAAGATCTCTCGGTTCACCCTGGTTGCTCGATCTGTTTCCCTATATGTGTCTCTGCGCCCCTTTCCCCGCCAACTCTCATGGGCAGGGTCTCTGGATGGGCTGGTGGGGGCACGCGAAGCGTGCAAATTTTCTCTGTCGCGGCGCATTCTGGCAACGCGCGCCGGCTTACGGCGCATGACTCGATCCCGACGTCGCCGCACTTTCCACTGACGTAACCGATTGGGCCCCCGAGTTGAAGCACCTTCCTAGACAAACCATTATATGGCGACTTTGTCTGCGGCAGGGACCGCGGCGAGGCCGCCCGCCACGTGCATCTATCTCCCTTGGAGACAGGGAGGCGCACCAGCAAAAATCCACAGAACGTTGTCCGCCCCACTGCGGTTGCAAAGCGTGGTTCCCATCGGCACGTGGCGCCCGCGGCCCTTTTGCGAGGGTTCGGGCACCATGCCTTCTATGCTGGGGGGGTCGTGGTTCGCGTCTGCCGCGGGGCAGCCCTACTGATGAGCCAGTGGGCATCTCTATGCGCGGCGCCCCTAGAGATCGCGCCGCATGGTGCGAAGCGGGCTAAGACAGGGCATGATCATCGGGGAGCTTGGAAAAATCTGGGGGGCCCACTGCGGTTTGGCAAATGCTTGATCGTGCCCCAACATGGTTTCCGCCCACATACTGCCATCGTCCCTGCTTCGGTTTCAGGCGAAACGCCATTCATCCACTAGTGCGGGGGGCCTTCGCTCCTTACTGGAAAGCGCTGTTCACGAAGTGGGCTCTGGAGTTCCACAGCCCCCTCGGCAGAGAATTGGGGGCCAGCTTCCCACGCTCGGGGGCGGCCGCGGAAGATCACAATAGAAGGGTCGCCCGCAGCGCGACCATGGCCAAACGCGCCCGCGCGCAAGGCGACCCAACGTAGCGTCGGCAAGAGGCCCCCTTACATGGGTAAGAGACCCCCTCCCGTTAGGGGCGCGGCGGCTGCAGAGTATACGCAGCCGCACCGCGCCCCTAACGGGTTCTCAAGATATTACATGGGCGCTGGACTTCAAAAGGGCACGGGGGGAACGTTAAAGGGTGGCAGTGGATTTGAGGGACGCGCGGGCCCAAGTGGAGTTCAAATGACAGGGATGTTTGCGCGCGCGGGCAGAAAACACCCCGAAGGAAAAGCGCCCCGAAAACACCCCGAAGGAACGCCTAGAGCTCTTTTCAAGAGCGCCGCGTGGCCAGGGTAAGCTCCCCCATGCTCCTGAGTGAGACTGGGTCCCGAGGCCTTGGTGACAGGCGCCTTGCCGTAAGGAAAATTCTGAAAAACCCTATGAGTAGTTTATCTTTCCCATCATAAGCGCCCCGAAAGCGGCCCAGAGGGACGCCCGAAGCTGTTTTCAGGAGCGCTGCGTCTCCAGTGTAGGTTTTCCCTATTGAAGGGCCAGACTGGGTTTCGGGGCCGTCGGGGGTTGGCGCGGCGCCTTAGGAAAAATTATGAAAAACCGTATGATTGGTTTATATTTTTGGAAACGCCCCCCCAAAAAAAGGCCCGGAACTGATTTCCAGGACACTCCGTCGCAAGGATAGGGCTTTCCCTTAGGAACCAACAATCGAATCGCCGACGTTCCCCCTGGGGCGGCACTCCCTTGAATTCCCGCGCCACCTGAAGCCGCCAGTGTGCCCAGAGTGCCGTTCGCGACGGCGTTTGCGGAGATGGCGTCGGTCATGGTGGACTTGCTAGTGACAGTTATGATGATACCCTTTTACTCACAGGTACGTACAGTTCTCGCGCACGCGGCGCGGCTGCGTGCTGTTCGCAGCCGCTGCGCTCCTAACAGAAGGGTACACTTTACCCAAGTAGCGGACCTTCTTGCCGACGCTACGCTGGATAGCCTGGG